TCAAGACATATACGAAAAGCATAGCAAATAAAATGAGAAAAAAGTCACACAACTTGAATGCTTCTAACAAGTGGAGAGAAAAATATGTTGTTTTGGAAGGAGAGGTGCATCTAGATTAATTATTTCCTTGACACCTCACTCATTGTAGTTTATCCAAATTGATTATGATTTGGTTTAAACTACAAAAATTTTACTTCGAGGAATAATTAATTATTATAGTGTTAATTATATATATATATATATATATATATATATATATATATATATATATATATATATATATATATATATATATATATATATATAGAGAGGGATGGAGAAAGAAATTTATTTTCATGAGACCAAAAGTTGAATTTAAAGAAGATTGGATTAAGACTTTTATTCATTCTTAACTTTAAATAAAATTATTCTTAATAAATATGTATCGATTAAAAGAAGATTAGTAAATTTTTAAGTGTCATTTAACCATCAACGAAAAAGATTTTTGTTTCTTTTTGTAATAGTTGAGTTTTGAAATGTGAGAGATTAAAGTTTTTTAGTCTCAAGAGGAAACAAAACAAGTATTCTTTGTTTCGAAGAGATAAAAAATAACAAACTTGTCAACAAGTTGAGTCTTTTATTTATTTTTTAATAAAAAAATTGAGAAAGTAAGTTGCTTTGTATTTGACGGAAGTGACTCAATAATATATAATAGACAGAAGTTAACATATCCTGGGATAGTACATTATGGGACCAATATATATTTTTTATTTTCATAGTACTCAAAAAAATTACTAAAGTTTGGGGTGGTCATGTGACCCCACCCATTCTCTCCACCTCTCTCTCTCTATATATATATATTACAAAATAATTTTCAAACAAATATTTTTAAATTATCAACTTTGTTCATTGGTTACCTATATTGCATTAAAGATTTGTCTAGATATTTTGTTTCAAAACACAAATATTTATTAGAAAATATATTTATATGAAATTTTCTTACCTTCTTCATTAATCAAATCAGAGAAAGTTTTCTCCTTCTACATCAAAGACATACTTCATGTGATATATGTAACCTATCACATGAAGTTAGTCTATAAAATTTTATTCTTCTTATTAGACGACATGTCATATTTGTTCTCCTAATTTTTGTTTTTTATAGGTTATAGGTCGAGTATCGGGTAAAATAGATAATTTATGACAAATAAAATTAGATAGATACCTAGCATGCCATTTGCATTCCAAGCAATAATATCAATATCATTCAACAAACAACTTCTCCAATTGTTTCTAAATTGAGAAAATAGCAATATGACTGATATAGGGATGACAAAATGGGTCAGTTCGCCCCATCCCGCCCTTGGTCCGCTAAAAGCGGGGCAAGACAAGCTAACCCACTATAGTCATAACACGCTGTAGATCTTGTCCCGCCCAGCCAAAGGATGGTTTGGCAGTGCTAGCTGATCGACCCGCCATAATTTTAAAAAATAATTTATTTTTTTAAATAAAAAATTTCAATAAATTTAATAATAAGATTATTATTTGTTTGTTAATAATTCAAATATATATATATATATATATATATATATTATTTTAATTTAATAATATAAATCAAAACATTGTTTTAAGAAATTATAATTTAGAACAATAATAAAATTTATATAATAATAAATAATAACAGATATATATATATATATATAATAAAATTTATAAAATTTATATTTTTATATTGAAAATTTAAAATACTTATACCTTTTTTTATTTAATAAAACTTCACATTGTTCTCATTTGAGTATTTATTACACCTTTAATTCAAGTTATAAAGATAAGAATAACCAGATGCTTAGGATGAATGAACAAGGAGAATATTTCTTTTGAGAGTACAACTTTTTTTAATTCTTTTTTTAAAATTTTTAACTTTATATATTATCTTTATAATTAACTTTATTATAATAAAAAATTATTTTTTATTAATTAGGTGGATCTGCGGCTGACCCGCCTCGTGCCGTGGGTTGACGGGTTTGGCGGGATGGGCCAAAACAAACTGACGAACTAAAAACACCAACCCGCTCCGCCATATTATGGCGGGCTGATGAGTTGAAAGCTCGAGATCTACTCATCAAAGGAAGGTCGATTGTCCTCAAACACTACTCATGGGTTAAGATCAATACTTTCTTTCCTCGTATCATTAGGGATAACAAAACGGGTCAGGCCCGACGGGGCAGGTTGGTACTTTGAGCCCGCCAACCCACTCTAGCTCGCCCCGCCGGGTCAACCCGTAAGACGGGGCTGGCTAGCCCGCAACCCGACTAATTAATAAAAAAATAAATTTTTATTGTAATAAAATTAATTATAAAGATAATATATAAAGTTAAAAATTTTAAAAAGAAAATTAAAAAAGTTTCACTTTCACCAAAAATATTCTTCTTACTGAAACACAAGTTTTTCTCTCCTGTTCTCCTTGTATTAAGCACTCGATTATTCTTATCCTTATGACTTGAATTAAAGATGTAAAATTATTCAAACAAGAACAATATGAAGTTTTATGAAATAAAAAAGATATGGGTATTTGAATTTTTCAATATAAAAAATATAAATTTTATAAGTTTTAATGTTGTTTATATATATATATATTATTTCAATTTAATAATATAAATCAATATATTATTTTAAGAAATTATAATTTAGAACAATATATTATTTCAATTTAATAATATAAATCAATACATTATTTTAAGAAATTATAATTTAGAACAATAATAAAATTTACATAATAATAAATAATAACAAATATATATATATATAATTATTAACAAACAAATAATAATCTTATTATTAAATTTATTGAAAATTTTAATTTAAAAAAATAATTTTTTTTTAATTATGGCGGACCAGCTGCCTCTTGGCGGGCGGGTCAAGATCTACAACCCGTCACGACTATAGCGGGTAGTCTGCCTCACCCCGCTTTTGGCATGTCAAAACTGGCGGGTTGACCCGTTTTGCCATCCCTACGTATCATGGATAATCTCCACATTGTTCTATATGTGATGGAGAGTACCTTCCTTTATGATTTTTGTTTTCTTTTATGCTTGAATGATGCAGATAAAGTTGTGTAGGGTGGAACTTCTAAAATTTGGATATAACACTCTTTTGCTACTTTTGGATCAGCTTTGACTGAGAATATCTCTTCACCCTTTAATAGGAACTTCATGGTCACATGAGACCTTAATACTATAGTCTTAACTTGATTTAGGGTTCATCTTCTAATGAGCATGATGTATGATGTGTTAGTTTTCACAAGGATATATCAAAATATAATACTTTGACTTTCCTCATGTTCCTTAAATGTGGAGAGCAAGTTTATATATTGACTTGTATGCACTTGTTTTCACCAACAAAATTAAGTAACAAGTTTGGACACACTTTGATCAAGTTCTAAGGGAGATCAAGTTTTAGAAAAGTATATTAATAGATCATATCATTCAAGCTTTCCTAATCTATGCGTGTTTTCTTAACTCTCTTTCTCCTCCCCTCAATTAGTAATCATAATCATAATGACCATAACATTATCTTATAATGAGTCATATGTTGTTGAAGTCTGCATTTGGGGGAAGCCAACAAGGTTGAAAGGATTAAACCATATTCACATTATGAATGACATATAAAATGATAATTTCTAATCGATATTACACTTCCACCACCAATAAATCCTCGTGTAATAATGTTTATGTTTCCCTATCTCATCGTTACCTTATTAGTTTTATTACTAGTTAGTCTTATTGCTAATCTCTAATTAAGGATTACCTAATCTTCCACCTCCTTAGGATTCACAATCCTTAGGGATGTCCAAGTGAGTTAACCTAACTCACACAAGTTGACTTACTATGAATTATGTTAAAAACGAGTCAGTTTAACTCAACTCACTTTTGGTGAATAAAAAAATTTATAACTAAACTCGACTTACTACATGTTGATAGATTAGATAAATTGATCCATTTAAATATGTGTTATTTATTATTTTTAAAATTTTTAAAATATGTGGGTTAACTTAAAAAAAACATATTAACTTGTTGAAATATATTTTTTTCTTTGTATATTTAGCCATAAGTAAGGAAAATTAAAATATTAAATAAAAAGAAAAAAATGATAACAAACTCATTTAAACTTATTTAATCCGTGAGTTTATTATGATATTTTTTTAACTAACTTATTTAATAACTCTAATAATTTCACATTCATAACTTTAATTATTTGACATTCATAAATATCCAGCAAAATTATTATTAATTATATATATATATATATATATATATATAAAGAAGATATTTATAAAGATTTATTTTTCATTTTTATATTTTAATTTAATAGGTGAAATAAATTATTATTTAAATCATTAAATTAAAAAAATAAAATAACAAGGAGAAATATTAAAACTTTTCTGTACGCGCATATTATTAAATTATTCAATAATTTTTTATTATATTTCAACAATAACATGTAAAAAATAAATTTGAAAATAAAATATAAAAATTACTTTTAAAATTTACTTACTATTAATATTTAAAAACTAAATAAAGAAACATAAATAAATAACCTATTCAACCTTTTTATTTTATTCATTTAATGGTACAGACGAGTCATCTACTCATTTTAACACGAAAAGGAGGACTCCTATTGGACCGAACACGTCAACCGCCACCACGGTATCCCAAATTGACACTGTAATTTCCTAACGAAGACTGTTTTGCACAAAGGAAAAATCGAAACCATCAACCGCCCATTTATTTCACTCCGACGACCTGACTGCTACAAGAAGCACCAACTTAATACCTTCCAAAACGCGTTCATTTCCCCCTTCGAAACCTAGCTACTGGGATCCGTCAAAGAACGTAAAAGATATCGTCTTTTTCGCGTTTCCCTTCTTGGGTTTTCCTTTTCCTCGGCTACCCCGCAGTGATCTTCGTCTGCGCCTGTGAAAAGCTCGGTGCATTTTTTTGGAAGCACCGACATTGGAAACTGTGATGGAGAAAACGGCGATTAAGAAGAAGGGTTGGGGAGCGCGATGGCTTTGGATGGTGATGGCTCTCGTGGCTGTGTTTGTTGCTATGGCTGTGTCCTCTAGAACTTCTCCGAGAATTGCTCTATTTGGAGCCATTGATAGAGCTTGTAAGTGTGCGCGGGTAATTCCTATGAACTATCTCTTTTCGATAACCCGCATTTGAAGTTTATGCTTTTATTTATGGATTGTGGAATTCTGAATCTTAGACAAAGAATGTGTCCTCTTAGGATTTTCGTTTTTTTATCTCCCTTTATCTTGTTTGTACCAATTTATTTCACTTCATTGGTGAGTGTGTCTTCCGTTGGCAATTGTAATGAAAATCTCTTGCACTGCAGGGCGCCCGAACAGTGCAACTGTAGAGATATGTTTTTCTTTGATATTTTGGGTATCTGCTGCTGTGTGACTAGGAATTTAGTTTGATGATACGATGTTTTGATCGAGTGTCAAGGCTTGAGTCTTCTTTGTTGGTTGCAGGGTACACCGAAGTACAGTGGCATGGTGGAGGATTGTTGTTGTGATTATGAAACTGTAGACCATCTCAATGAGGAAGTGTTGAATCCTTCTCTTCAAGAGCTCGTGAAGACCCCTTTTTTTCGATATTTTAAGGTTTTCTTCTTGGTGCATCTTATTTTATGCCTACATTTTTCCTATGAATTTCCTGTTGACTAAGATCCTCTTGTTTTCTGTTGATACTTATGGTTATCTTGAGTTTGATGAGAGCCTGATAAACTATTAGGTTTTGGTTAGGCCCTTCTTGTATGTGTGTTTTTGTGTTCCGATTATGCATTGGTTCCTGCTCTATCCTTTATATTACGTGTAAATATTGCTGGCTTCCTATTCACACCATCAGCACAATTTAGGATTGACAGGCCTATCTAGAAGAACATGTGATGATTCCAATTTTTTTTTATTGATGATTTTTGAAGGTTTTCTTGATCAATGAAATATTTGAATTTTGATTTGGTCAACCGAATGAGAAATTGGAGAATCCATTTATGTTGTAGAAATGCATCAATCTTGTAGAATTAAGTCCATACATGCTCATTTGCATTGTCAACTGAACTTAGTGGCCTATATCTCCAGAAAGTGAATCTTTAACTGAATTTTTTATAGGTGAAGTTATGGTGTGACTGTCCTTTCTGGCCTGACGATGGCATGTGCCGGTTGAGGGACTGTAGTGTATGTGAATGCCCAGAAAGTGAGTTTCCCGAATCGTTTAAGAAGCCCCATCGCTTCTCAATGAATGATCTTGTTTGTCAAGAAGGTAAACCTCAGGCAGCTGTTGACCGTACTTTAGACAGTAAAGCTTTCAGAGGGTGGACAGAAATAGACAATCCATGGACAAATGATGACGAGACTGACAATGGTTCATATCTAATCCTCATAGTTGTTTATCCAATTAATTGTGTGAAAGTGAAATATTATCATTTAAGTATAGAATTTAGGATTCATAAATATATTATGACTGACATCAGATTTATATTCCTGAGTTGACAATGAGTATATCTTTGTGAATAGTTTTGTTTGATGTCTTCATCTACTATGATATATTTATGATCAAGTTTCAAGTTGATCAGTCCTTGTTTTTTAGTATCAGGAAGCAGAATGACAATAGTGTAGTTTGCATTCACTTCTAGTAGAAGTGCTTTTAACTTTTTCTAATAGGTGGCAGCATGGGATTATATTCAACTTTTTCCCTGAAAAATAAGCATGTCAATTGATAGCCCTGTTTGCATTTGCAGATGAGATGACATACGTGAATCTTCAACTGAATCCTGAAAGATATACTGGTTATACTGGTCCGTCTGCAAGAAGGATATGGGATTCTGTCTACTCTGAGAACTGCCCCAAATGTAAGTTTGCTATGAAAAGCTTATTCACTTAAATAATTTGACTAAACTTTAATAATTTGGAAAGGCCTTGGATTTTAGGTTGTTTAATGGTACCTTCCATGTTTCAAACATTGACAGACCATTAACTTTGAATGTAAATAATTACCCTCTATCTTTCTATCTTTGTGCATTATTTTTTTTTAATTATATAGTGTGTTGTTTCCATAGAGGATATTAGTCGTGTTCTTATCATTTTTTTTTTCTAGTGAAAGATATCTTTGAAATGTTATAAAAGAGGAGCCTTTTTCTCTGGTTCTATGGTTCGTTAATTACAAAAAAAAATTGTCTTCTGTAGATCCATCTCAAGAGTTATGCCAGGAGGAGAAGATTTTGTATAAATTGATATCCGGTCTTCACTCCTCCATATCAATACATATAGCTGCTGAGTATCTACTTGATGAAGCTACAAATTTGGTAAATCTTACGATCCTCTTTCCACCAATAGCTAATTTTCTGTTTGAAAGGGATATTTGATTGCTTTTGTGGAATTAATACAGTTACTGCATATTTGGTAAAATGTTTCAATATCTAACTTCTTTTTTTTCCCTTTTATTATTCCAGTGGGGGCAAAATCTTACTTTGATGTATGATCGAGTCCTAAAATACCCAGATCGTGTCAGAAATTTGTATTTCACTTTTCTCTTTGTGCTGCGAGCAGTAACCAAAGTGAGTATAAAATGTGATGGTTTAAGGTCACAAACTGGGCATGTATAAATGGATCAAACTTTCTTTATTCTCCTTCTTTTACAAATATTCTTGATGCAACCCACATTCTTCTTTAGGCTGCAGATTATCTGGAACAGGCAGAGTACGATACAGGTAACTATAATGAGGACCTGAGGACACAGTCCTTGATAAAGCAGCTACTTTATAACCCCAAGCTTCAAGCTGCTTGTCCAATTCCATTTGATGAAGCTAATTTGTGGAAAGGCCAAAGTGGACCTGAGCTAAAGCAGAAAATTCAACAACAATTTAGAAACATCAGGTATTACTAAAAACTAGTGGACTTGACTCTGGCCTAGCTAAATAAATATTATCCATTTATAACTTGCAGGGCCTGTTGTAGCTTAGTCTCTACTAAGCATGCTTCACACTACTAACAAATATGTAGAAAAAACAATTGATTATTAATGTTCATAGTAATGCTCACAAAACAATATTTGTGAAAGGAATCAGTGATTTAATCCAAAATCATTGATGAGTATGATTTTGCTTTTCATCTTCCATGCTTTGGAATTTCAGTCTCCTTTTGAGTTACATATGCTGATGGATGTTGTGGGTTTATGTGGACTTTTTGAGTGCTGATCTCATCCGAAAATAACTTTTGGCTGTAAACGAAGTGACCACTCGTTTTGTTCTCCATTTATTATTGTGATTTTGATTTCTCATTGGCAATGGAATGATGGAATATTTTTTGTGTGGAATGCAGTGCATTGATGGATTGTGTAGGATGTGAGAAGTGTCGATTATGGGGTAAGCTTCAGGTTCTTGGTCTTGGAACTGCACTAAAGATTCTCTTCTCTGTTGATGGTCAAGAAAACTCGATTCAAACAGTAAGTACATTTTAACTGAGAATTGATTTTTTTCCCTCTCTGTACATTATGGTTTAGTGAGCAACACCTTATTTGTTGCACTTGATGATCTTTCAGCTGCAGCTGCAAAGGAATGAGGTAATTGCATTGATGAACCTTCTCAATCGACTTTCGGAATCTGTCAAATTTGTCCATGAAGTGGGACCTGCAGCTGATAGAATCATGGAAGGACATTTTTCTGCTCATACAACATTGATTAACTCATTGAAAAGAATTTGGTCCTTTGCATCTAAAACTTAGGGAACATGTTCTCCGAGTATTATTTGTTGTATCACTCTTTGATTCAAATTACTCCAGAGGTTAGACATAGGAAACCACAGTCATGGTTTGGAAACTACAGCACTTAGAATGTCTCAAAATTGAAAATAAATGCTTGAATATATATAGGGGAAAAAATTAACTGAATTTAATAGAAGATATATGTTACTTGGAAATGGGATTTAATCCCCTTGTCCCCGTTAATTTTGTAATTCCTGTATAATATCCTTGACACGTTCATACTTTTCTGAGTTGTAGAGAAAGAGTATTTGACAAAAATAGTTATCATGATGCTAAAAAGCAATGCCCAAAAATTTGCTAAGTTACATATAATTATATAATGTATGAAGTCACACATTTGAAGAGGATATGGGTGTTAAGAAATAGTTTAAAATGCTAATCTTTAATTTTAAATGTAAATAATTTTAAAGAATTATTTTAGTTTTCTAATTTAGTATTTATGAATTAAAATAATATTTATTATTATTTAGGGTTAAATAAATTTTTTCTTTCAAAATTGGGATTGTTTAAGTATTCAAACTTGAAAACATTGATCAGTATTGGAAAATCAAAATGTTTAGTTACTGTTTTTAAATAATTATTTTTTAGACGAAGAAAAATATTAAATAAGAATATTAATAAAATTATTAAATTCTTAAAAATAATATTTAATTTAATTTATGTAACTTGATTTTAACCATCTCTATAAATAGAGAGAATGTATGATTAAAATTATTATTTTTTATCTTATATAATCATTAATATTTTTTTTATCTAAATTCACTTTTGATAATTTTATTTATTATCTTCTCTTTATAATAAATATAATTAAAAAATAAAAATATAATTAATAAAAGGTAATTGATAGAATCTTAAATATTATAAATAAGATATATTTAAAAACATATTTTTTAAATTAAACAGTAAATATTTTGAAACAGATGTTACCTAATTTATTATATAATTTTTTTTGTAAAAATAAAATGATAAATAAAATTATTAATAATAAACAAATTTATTTTATTTTATTTTTTATTCCTGTTTATCTAATCTAAACAAATTTTAATTTTTACTATTTCACTCTTCATTGCTTAATCTAAAATAAAGCATTAAAGAAAAGAGTGCAAGATTTATCCCATATTTTGTCTCATGGAGGTCTTGGTTAGCGTCTTTTTCAATCATAAAGCCGTGTAGTATCACCGTAACTCTTCTTTTATGGCTTCAATAAATATTAAATATCACTTTAGATGATTTTTTTTTAAGATTCGTTTAGAAGAGAAGAAAAATGAAATAAAAATTTTAATATAATAAAATTAGCTTTTCTAAATTAAAACAAAAAATTTAGAGAATTTATATGAAAGGACTTATACAAATTAAATTGATTTTTTTAGTTCCTATTTATATGCAGTTCTGCACACTAAAGAAGTTTCGAAATTCTGCTAACATCCCCACGTAAAAAAAGCATGGGCATCTCCTTGGTTCCACCTCACCGCACATGAAGAAGGTCAAAGTCATTCTCACCTCCGCCCAATCCCAGATCCTCCACCACCGCAAACTCGCCACTCTCCCCCAAGCCCAAGCTCAAGCCCTCAACCCCTCTCTGAAGCCCGTGTTCTACGCCTCCCTCCTCCAAACCTGCACCAAAACCCACTCCTTCCTCCATGGCACTCTCCTCCACGCCCACGTCCTCAAATTGGGCCTCCTCGCCGACCGCTTCCTTGCCAACAGTCTCCTCTCCCTCTACTTCAAACTCTCGCCCCACTTCTCCCAGGCCCGCGCCCTCTTCGACGGGCTTTCCTTCAAAGACGTCATCGCCTGGACCTCCATCATCTCCGGCTACGTCCGAAAAGCCCAGCCCACCCACGCCCTCCATCTCTTCCTCCAAATGCTCCGCCTTGGCCTCCACCCCAATGCCTTCACCCTCTCCTCCCTCCTCAAAGCCTCCTCCCAGCTCCAAAACCTTCCCCTCGGCAGAGCACTCCACGCCATTGTCGCCAAGTGCGGCTTCCACTCTAACAATGTTGTGGCCTGCGCGCTCATCGACATGTACGGGAGGACGCGCGTGGTCGACGACGCGCGCAGGGTGTTTGACGAATTGCCCCACCCGGACCCCGTTTGCTGGACCGCCGTTATCTCCACGTTGGCGCGTAACGACAGGTTTAGGGATGCCGTTGGGTTGTTTTCCGTTATGCATGACGGGGGTTTGGGGTTGGAGGTGGATGGTTTCACTTTCGGGACGCTGTTGAACGCGTGTGGGAACTTGGGGTGGTTGAGGATGGGAAGGGAGGTGCATGGGAAGGTTTTGACTTTGGGGATGCGTGGAAATGTGGTTGTGGAGAGTAGTTTGTTGGATATGTATGGGAAATGCGGGGAGGTTGGGTGTGCGAGGATGGTGTTTGCTGGGTTGGTGGGGAGGAATTGGGTATCTTGGACTGCTATGCTTGGGGTTTATTGTCACAATGGGGAATGTGAAAGTGTGCTTGGGCTTGTTAGGGAATGGGAGGTGGTGGATGTTTATTGTTTTGGGACAGTTATTCGTGCGTGTTCGGCGCTGGCTGCGGTGAGGCAGGGGAAGGAAGTGCATTGCCAGTATGTGAGGAAGGGTGGGTGGAGGGATGTGGTGGTGGAGTCTGCTTTGGTTGATATGTATGCGAAATGTGGATGTGTGGATTTTGCATATAGCTTGTTTTTGAGGATGGATGTGAGGAATTTGATCACTTGGAACTCGATGATTGGAGGGTTGGCGCAGAACGGGAGAGGGCAAGAGGGGGTGGAGTTGTTTGAGGAGATGGTGAAGGAAGGGGTGAGGCCGGATGGGATCAGTTTTGTGAATGTGCTGTTTGCGTGTAGTCATAATGGTTTAGTTGATCAGGGGAGGAGGTATTTTGATTTGATGAGGAGGGAGTATGGGATTGGGCCTGGGGTGGTGCACTACACTTGCATGATTGATCTTCTGGGAAGGGCTGAGTTGATAGAGGAGGCTGAGAGTTTGTTGGAGAGTGCTGATTGCAGTTATAATCATTCCCTTTGGGCGGTTCTGCTTGGAGCTTGCACCAAGTGTTCGGATTATATCACAGCTGAACGTGTTGCAAAAAAGATGATTCAGCTGGAGCCTGACTTCCATCTGAGTTACGTTCTGCTTGGTAATATTTATAGAGCAGTTGGCCGGTGGAATGAGGCCCTGGAGATCAGGAGGTTGATGGAGGAAAGAGGGGTTAAGAAGATGCCTGGCAAGAGCTGGATCGAAAGTGAGAAGCAAAAGAGTTCTCCTAGTTTTGATTTTAACATTGTTGGGAAGAGCATGGGAGAGGCCGCGTGATGATAAATTAGATAGAAATTGGCCGGTAGAGTTTGTTGATATAATTGGTGGATTGATTCTGCATATAAGACACACCTGGTTTATCTCAGGTGTCATGGAAGGTTGTAAGCTAATGTTCATCTTTTTTGTTTAGCTAACTCAACAACTAATGCGAGCATCAGCTTTGTCCTATTGTGGTTCTGTCCAGAGCATCAGCGGGTGCAAATTTTTTACAATGTAAGCAAACTGAGTTTAATTCTTGCTTGCATATGAGGGGTGATCTTTGGACTGCATGATTGATGCAGAAACCCTACCTCAATCAGTCACAGGATCCATCACCCCAAGATAGACACGTGACATGTAAAGATACTTCTACAGTCAGACCAATGATAAAATGTATAGAATTGTTAGCAGGGAGAAGTGAGCAGCCTGAGATAATCTCAGTGAGTTTAGAAAGGAAGCAGAGAATCCTGGGACTAGAAAGGACCAATGAAGTGCATGTTATTGGACTTGAGACTTGTTGGAACCTATATTTTATCTGAGATTCAAACTTCAATATTGTTTGAGCCCGAATGCACAATGCTTCACTTCTCAGAAACTCTTGTGCAGTAGTAAATGTTTCTACCATCATTATTTCAAGAGCAATCCAAATTAATTCCAGGCTTAACGAAGACTGTGATGTGCCGTGCACGAAGGAATGATTTTGTGATCTCACTGGAAGTGCTACCTCGATGCAAATTACACAATAAATGATAACGATTCTCCTCAAATGACTGCTTTCTTTCTATCTAACTCGCAACTTTGATTTACAATTAGTATGCGTAAGAGTTTTATGATCCTTTTTCCTATCACCCTCTAATATTTCTTGTCCCTTAATCCGACTTTGTTGCATAAAACTGTACCATAACGAACCTCATTTTCCTAATTCCAAAACCATGACATCTTTTTATGAAATAACAATAAAATGCATTGCAACCATCAAATAGACTTAATATACTCGATTCCCTGAAGAGAGATGATGAAATGGAAGAATGTTACAAACTAAAGAAAGTGGTAAATTGAAATATAGTATTATATGTAAACGAAAATACGAAAATATTTATATTTGCATAATGGTACTTGGAAGTAAAAAGGTGAAAGTCATAGCAATGAAATGACGTGGCAAGTAATCACATATGAAGGATAAAAAAACATGTTCTATGAAACATACACTAAATAAAAAGTGTTAAAATTTTGATGAGATGACATCTGATCACTCATCATGGCAGTAAAACTAATAAGAGGGACCAAAGCAAAAAATAAATAAATATTTAAAAAAAAAATGAAAAAGAACAAGGACCAAAGTTAAACAATTATATTTTTCTAGAACATAAAAGTTATTTAACCTATTTAAAAATATACAATATTTTAAGATTTTTTTTATGATGTAGATGATTTTCGGATAACATTTTTTAGGTATGTAAATATAATGTTCATGAACATTCGTCCTCAAACATCTTAAAATTTTCCAAGATTTTTAAATTTTTTTTATTATTATACATAATTTCTCTTCTCTTATCTTCATTGAAGGTATAATAAATGGTGATGGGTAAGGCTTATAATTTTCTTTAGGTAGATGCCATTATGGTTTTTTTACAGTCGAACAAATCCTCAGATATTATTTTGAATTTATTGTTCAAAATAAAATTGTAGAGAACGAAAATAATAATTTGTTTATAAATTAGATTTTTCTGAAAAAAGTTTAAAGAGAAAGAGCTCTTAAACCCTCGTCCATGGGTCAAAACTCAAAAAGTCCAAGGTTGTTGTGAGGACAGGAGATAGAGGTTAAAAAAACCCTAGGGTTTTAGTAAGGGGAGCAAGAGCGTGTGTCTGCTACAGAGGAAAAGAATGAGTTTGGTTGCAGGATCCTACGAGAAATTCATCTGGGGTCTCACCCTAAACCCCCAATCCCAATCTCTAACCCCTCTCTTCTCCTACCCTTCCCACCTCTCCTCCATCAAGACCGTCGCGGTCTCCGCCTCCGTCGTTGCCTCCGGTGGCGAGGACGACACCATACACCTCTACGACCTCTCCGCCGCCTCCTCCCTCGGCTCCCTCCACCACCACTCCGCCACCGTCACCGCCCTTTCATTCTACACCCCTCCCAACCTCCCCTTCCCTCGCAACCTCATCTCCGCCGACGCCGCTGGCTCTGTTTCCATCGTTGATGCCGATGGCTTCGTCCACCTCACCACCATCTCCGTCCACCGCAATGCCGCCATCAACGACCTCGCCCTACACCCCTCCGGCGAGCGCGCCCTCACCGTCGCCCGCGACAACTGCCTCGCCGTCGTCAACCTCGTCCGCGGCCGCCGCAACTGCTGCTTGCGCCTCGACAAGGAGGCTACTCTGGTCAAGTTCGACGTCTCCGGCGACCGCTTCTTCATGGCCGCGAAGGAGAAGGTTTCCGTCCACCAGACAGAGGATGCGCGGATATTGTTCGACTTGGAATGCTCCAAGCCCGTTCTCTGCGCTGCTCCTGCTAGGGTTCGTGCTTGCTCAAATTCTTTCTCTGTTTTCCTGTTATCAATTAGAGTTGTGGACTCGTTGAACATCATGTTTGCCTCATTGGTTATTTTTATTTTATGTGTTTCTTCTTTGTGTGCTGCTGATTTCTCCTTTCTGTTAATGATGCATTATGTGTATCTTCTAAGAAGAAGAAGGAATATTCTCTCGGATGGGGAATTCATAGTCATTGATTATGATGAAAAATTAGAAAGGAAAAAATTGGTACTGGCATTACCGGTTGGTGTTAATTCTTACCTTTTGGAGGAGTGCTGGCTACATAGTAAACTATATTCAAATGTTTGTTGTATGGTTTAATGGTGAATCAATGGCCTGGATATTTATAATGCAGACATCACTGGTATGAAGGAAGTTCTTGATTTTAAATAATGTGCGTTGTATATGCAATTCCCATATAGTTTTCTCTCATTGCCAATTAAAGTGAGGAGATCAGTCCTGTGTAATACATTTGAGTCTTGTGTAATACATTTTATTCCTTTTGCAGAATGGACTTCTTTATACTGGTGGTGAGGACAAAAATATCACAGCATGGGATATCAATACTGGAAAAGTTGCATATTGCTTGGAAGAAGCACATACTTCCCGTATCAAAGGTATTGTCATACTCACAGATAGTGATGGTGCTACAGAGGATGACCCTTACCTAGTGGCATCTGCATCATCTGATGGCAATATACGTGTCTGGGATGTTCGAATGACAGCTAGAAAGAAACCGCTAGCTGAATATAACACAAGATCGAGATTGACATGCCTTGCTGGAACAAGTCTCCGATGTAAGTTGTAAATACTAAATTCTCACACATGCCTGTTTAACTCTGAGAAAGCTAAAATGCGGTATTTTGTTAATCTATCTGTCACCTAGACTCCTAGGTATATATATATATATATATATATATATATATATATATATATATATATATATATATATATATATATATATATATATATATATATATTTTATACACATACATTAATCAGCTGAGACATTATTTCTCTGAAGCATTCTTTCTCATATTTTTCCTCCAATGTCTTTTTAAACAGAGAATTATAAAATCTGTTCTTATTTCTTTATTTACAATTTCGGATCAAAGTGCACTGTACTGCTTCTTTTGTCTTGAGTTGTTGATGAGTTACTATTTTATCAACTTTTATCTTAGTCTCTCTGTTTCATGTTATCTGTATTTGGTTATTTTAGAATGTATTAATATTTGTCCCTTCAGAAAACCAAGAAAGCATTGATTATTTTTTCAAGTAATACCTTTATCTGTTGCTTTCTCATCTAAGTACTTTAATGATTCACAGCTAAGTTCACAATGAAAACCAATTTATCGCCATAAGTCATAGTTCATAATGTTCTTAAGAAACGTTCTTATTTTCAAAGGAAAATAATACTCAGTTGGAAAAGAATTTATTACTAGCTCGTGGGTTTATCGAATATGAAGTATGAACATTGTATGATCTGTGAGGTTTCCTTGAGCTTATGAACTTAACTGTTATTATTTATAGTCTTAATCAGTGCTTGAGTGTCGTCACTCAAAGAGCTGGGCTTCTTCAGCTTTTGGGAGAAAATGGTGTTGTTATTACTTTGGTTTAGGGTTTAGGGTATTATTGCTAGAGATTAGGCAAAAGAGGAAGCTTTTTGAGAGTATCATTCCATTCTTAAATAAAAAAAGTGGAGGAATTATCAAAACTGAAGGGAATACTCTCTCAAGAAGTATCACAAGACCTTTGAATTCTTGGAGAAATTTTATATCTAAAATTGCTGTTAGTTCTTTATTTGGATGTTATATTTTTTAATTTCTCTTTGTGCAGTCCGAAGGCAACGACGGCAGGATGGGAGTAAATCGAAGGTAGTTAAACGACAACGACTCCAGGCTGGAAAGAGTAAATCAAAGGCAGAGGATTAAACGATGGAAGGTTAATCAATAGCATTGTAGATGGCATACTTGAGAAAAACATTTTGCTTATTGCTGAAAAGTGATTTTGATACCCTTTAGAAGCCTTGACTTACATCCCGTTGCATTGAGAAATATATTGTTGCTTGCACCAAGTTGATTCTCAGTTGCAGGATTATGATCCTGCTACCCTCTGCATTCTCCTTGTTACACACCCAAATGCTAATTTAATTGTAAATGGGTCTTAAGGATGACATGATAAGACCTATATTCTATAGTATTCTGAAATTTGAAGCGGGAAAGATCATGTACGTATAAATTTTCTTCTATATTATATTTTATCCTGCAGTTCCATTTTTATTATATGAGGAGGAATTTATTTCGTCCATGAGCAATGTTTACAGGCTTATTATATATATTAGTTTTCATCTCATGAAATCACATTAATTTAGAAAAGTCTTAAAAGGAGAATATTGTTTGCCATTCTTTGACCCACATTTAGAGGATAAGTAAAATTGTCCAATTCTCACATTCCCTAAATTTCGGTAGAATATGTAGTGTAAACGTGATTCATTTAGGGAATAAGATTATTTAATATATGCGTTACGATCATGTAAAGTTTTTAACATTTAAGAATGTATTTGAAAAATAGTTTTTTTTTTTTTTTTTTTTTTTTAATTTCAAACCTTTTTTAGCTTTTATTAATAATGACAATGGACGGTAAGTTATTACTAATTATTTTTGTTTTCTTTTTTAAAATTAAAATTGTTTTTGAAACTTAACGTGTTTTCAATTTAAGTGAATTTTGAACCGAGGATTAAATGTTATACAAATGTCATGAAATTAATTTTTAAAATAATTATTGGCATTTCTAATTGTTCGGGTTAGATTTTGTTGTTGTCAACGTATAAAATTAATATTTATTTATCCAAATCTTAAAAGTTTACAGATGAAACTACTCTTAAGAGTTTGATGACGTGCCTTAGCATAAACAGTTAACTTATCATAAAATAGTCTTATATAACTTTTAAGATGATTATTACAAAATATAAAAATATTAGTATTTATTATATATAATAATTTATAATTAAATGATATTATAATTTGTATACAATGTTAGTATAATATAATTTATCTTTCAAATAGTTATCACAGAAATAAAGTATTTTTCAATATATGATAAATTAAGATTGATTGAATATTATTAATACATTTAATTTAAATTCTAAATTACAAATAAAATTAAGGAAAACGAAAGCATTGTCAAAATAAAGGTAAATTGATAAGACCACTTGAATGCCATAACAAACCAGAAACGTGCAAGATTGTATTCTTCAACCTCATGATTTTATCACGTGGATCCAAAACAAACTAGAAATTTATCCGTGTATCTTAAATACAATTTGTCAATAACATTCAATGAGCTACTGTTAGTGGCAAATCAAGAAAAGCGATCGAGACCGAAGGAAAGAAATATGACTCGATAAGATAAACAAAAATTTATTCGATGTTTAATTAGAAGTACGTAGCGTACAACATCGAGAAGCACAATCGAGAATCGAATGAATAATAATCAAATGACTATTGTCGAATAAAAACTAAGTCATATAAGATCATTGTTAAAAAGGAATCGTAAGCAATTCGAAGTTCTCGATAAATACAAAATCGAGAGTAAAAGAAGCCAATGTGGACATCGAGACTTTGGCCAAATCGTGAAAGGAAGTAAGTCGAATGCACGTAGAAAGAGCAGTTTTGAAATCATGGGAAAAAGTCGGAGATCGTGAGAACGTGGGAAACTATGGAAGATAAACTGCCATACCCACGTAGAACGTGGTAGCGATCGCGTTAACCGCTCTCGGAAGGCTTGAAGGGTGCCCTATAAATAGAGCAAAGGAGGAAAGAAGTGGGGGGGGAATTGGCGAGAGAACAGGATCAGTAGTGAAAAGTCTACCGGAGAAACGACGAACACCATGAAGTTTCTGGCAATCTGGATTTCCTTGCTCACTGAGTACATTTACCGCTTTCTGTATTTTCTTTGGTAATTTATTTTGATGCAACTTAAATTCAGCAATTTTATGTTTCTGTATTTTCAATTCCTTGTCCATTTCAATTCAATGAAAGTTTAAGTTTCTGCATTTTCGATTTATTGTCATTTACATTTCCTGCACATTTCGAGTTCCTGCCATTTATATTTGCACTATTTTTCGATTCCTTGTTATTTACAATTAATGCAAGTTTAGGGTTTTTGCACTTTACGTTTCCTCGCAATTTAATATTCCGCTTTTTCGATTCGACACTTTATTGTTCTCGATACTTTAAAGATAAAACACCAAAAACAGTTTTCTTGATATCTTATGATTTTTCGATTCTCATACACAAACTCGATTGAAAATCAAATTGCTAGCCTAAGCAAAAAAGAACTTACGTGGTAGATTTTTGATTAGGACCGAAACACCCTTAGAATCGAAATCAATCAAAATTCCACCAGAAACAAATTGGCGCGCCAGGTAGGGGGATCTTGTGTTGAAAAACACAACATTGGTTAGTTCGAGATTGTATAAGATTAAGGAGTGGGAGAGTCATGAGTCAGAGTTCATCAAATAATCAAAGTAACAGTGAGGGATTAAATGGGTCACACCCACCAAATACTGGGGGGCAAAGTCATAATGATAACATACCTGTAATATCGACAACTGTGAGCATGTTGATACCTGTGAGTAGTGAACAAAATTCAGGTACACTAGCAAACACCCAAGTAGGATCTAGTACGGTGATACCAAATAATATGCAAACTATAGGAAATCCCACAACTACATATGTAGGGCCACGTATGAGTGTAAGACCGCCCGGGTTTTCACTTAATAATGTGAGTGGGACTGGAACTTCTTCAACACATAGGAATTCGAGATATAACTTAGGAATGTCTCAAACACTAGGTATGCCACAAAATTTTGGAATCCCTCCGAATTTAGGGACGTCGCAAAATTTAGTAATTCCACAGGATTCAGGGAATGGACAGAACGTAGGCACACAACAGATACCTCCAAATCTAGATCAGAGGGGATACTTAGATCATGGGAGATATGTATTCGATAGAGACTATCATCGATCTACTTTTGATTCTATCGAAAACATTGGTACCGGAATATCTAGTAATTCATTAGGGGTACTCAGACAACAAATGGATGAGAGTAATCTTGAAATGGTGAATATGTTATCACAACAATTGACTACAGTCTTAAATCCATTAGTGCAAAACACTACTACTAGCTTTGAGATATTAGCAGACCAAATGTCACGAATCGGGGATGCATTGGCTGTGCCTCGACAAACGAGGATAGAGAATCATGCTAATCAGAATACTAATATTAATCCCCCATATCTATTGAGAAGAAATAGAAACAATGATCAACAGCAGCGTATGGGAAATGAGTATCAACATGTGAGAAATGACCCGTATGGAAATTTGAACGAAGGATTTCAAAATATACACAATCAGAATAACATGTTAGGACAAAGGATGAATTTACAAGGGATGGAATTTAGACCACCCAATCAGACATATTTTGTGTCTCCCTTTCCGAATGCGATTCTCGAGACAGAATTGCCTCGAGGATATAAAGTACCCAAATTCACTAAATTTGCTGGAGAAATTGGTGAATCGACTATCGAGCATGTGGCTCGATATCAGATCGAATGCGGGGATTTAGCGATGAGTGAAGAATTGAAAATGAAATATTTTCCTAGTTCTTTGACTAAGAGTGCTTTTACTTGGTTCACGTCATTGCCACCCAATTCGATATATAATTGGCTGTAATTGGAAAGAAATTTTCATGAGCAATTCTTTAGAGGAGAAACTCAAGTGAGTCTCATCGACTTGATGAATATAAAAAGATACAATCATGAAAGCATAGATGATTATTTGAATCGATTTAGACAAATGAAATCGAGATGCTTCACTCAAATTCCTGAATATGAATTAGTCAGAATGGCCTCTGCAGGTTTAGAATTCTCGATTAGGAAAAAACTAGTTAATTTACCATTGAATGACATGGCTCAATTAGCTGATAAAGTGAGAAGAGTGGAACAAATAGAATATGAGAAACAAAAGTATAAGAAATATGAGAAACCTTTGAAAAAGGAAAGAATAGCATACATAAATGATGTATATGAGACAGATAACATGACAGAAAGTGATATTGAAGAAACTGCCGAGGAGAAAGTAAACATAGCAGAACTCAAAGTAGGGGTTCCTTATACTTGTAAACTGCTACAAAAGAATGAAGTGAAAGATAAAATGGCAAATCGAACATATACTTTCGATGTGACGAAAGCTGATAAAATCTTCGATGTTTTGTTAAAAGACAAACAAATTAAGTTGAGCGAAGGTCATAAACTGCCTTCGGCAGAACAAAGGAATGGTCGAAAATATTGTAAATTTCATAATGTTTTTGGACATTGGACTAAGAATTGCATACATTTCAGGAACACCATCCAAGATGCGATTGACCAAGGAAGGTTGAGGTTCGAAGAAATGACAATGAAAGTTGACACGAATCCATTCGAGGCCCAAGTTGGATACCTCGAATCCCAAACAGGCATTACTGATGATGTCCGATTAACAAATTCGGCCTTTATAGGCATGGTAGAGGTCACTGAAGACATCGATCCTAAGCACGTTAGAATGGATGTGTCTGAGGAAGATATGGAATTTGACCTGAGTGAATTCGAGAGAGAGTTCGAAAAGGAAATATACCCTCGATCAGGAGATTCTCTCATTGAATTTTTGAATAGGAAGAAAGAAAAAGACGAAGATGTGTCGTTATGCCCACGATGCAGTGCAGTGTTCGATAAATCGGCTGCTAAAGCTTTCAAGTCAGAGCAAATAAAGAAGATCGACAGCCAAAATAAAAGGAGAAATGACAAAGTAGATCAAACAGTCCGACCAACAATCGAAGAAAGTCAACAAAAATCCGTTGGTTCTGGTGTTAGTGAAAACCAAAGGCAATGGA